TGTGTTTACTCTCTCTGATCCCTCTGTGTTTACTCTCTCTGATCCCTCTGTGTTTACTCTCTCTGATTCCTCTGTGTTTACTCTCTCTGATCCCTTTGTGTTTACTCTGTCTGGTCCCTCTGTGTTTACTCTCTCTGATCGCTCTGTGTTTACTCTCTCTGATCCCTCTGTGTTTACCCTCTCTGATCCCTCTGTGTTTACTCTATCTGATCCCTCTGTGTTTCCTCTCTCTGGTCCCTTTGTATTTACTCTCTCTGGTCCCTTTGTGTGCTTATCCTGTCTCTGGGTTGTGCGTGTACTGTTTGTGGTCTATATGTTTGTCCTTTCTGTGCTTATTTTCTGTTGGAGGTCTGTCTGTTTCAATGATGTTTTCTAAATAATCTTTTCTTTCTGGGACCGGTTTGAGCAGGTGCGGTACAAAAACCGAATGGAGTTGTTGATCCGAGTGCGGAATCCATGGGGGAATGAAACAGAATGGAAAGGGCGCTGGAGTGACCAGTGAGTGCAGTAGTTCCTGTGAGAGCTGATTGGAGATTACACCCGGAACGCGATGAAGTAGAGAGGGTGTTTGCTGCCGCGATGTGTTTGTGGTAACAGGGCTGGTGGTTCCATTAGAGAAGCAGTTAGGTGCTCGATCTAGAAAGGATCGAATCTCACTGGCTCTGTACAGAGCGGGTCTGGCACCTTTTCTTGTGAGACAGAATGTTGTAACTTCAAATCCCACTCCAGGTTTATGTGTGGCTATCGAGGTGATAACCCCAGTGCAGGGCTGAGGGATGCGTACGGTTTTAAATGAGTCATTCAGCTGTTTCTTTTTTCTCAGGATTCATGGCATGATTTGGAAAAGATTCTCATTTTTCAGGATTTAAACATGAGTTATTTCATGAGAGGTGTGAAACTGCTGCTAAGGCCCAGCATTCACTGCACCCCCATCCCCCCCAACCCTTTCACTGAGCGTGAGTGAACCCAGTGACTTACTTGGGGCCATTTTAGAAGGTGGTTTACAGTGATCCCCATTGGTCGTGGCTTTGGAGTCTCATGTACGACAGGCCGGGGAAAGATGGCAGATTTCCTTCCCCAAAGGACATTAACAAAACAGATGGATTTTTACAACCGTTGACAATAATTTTAACACCAGGCGCTCAGGAACACTCACTAATGCTTTCACATAGAAACCAGGAGCAGCAATAGGCCCTTTGACCCTTCAGCCCTGCTCTATCATTCATGATTGACCATCCATCCCAAAGCCATATTCCTGCTTTCCCCCCCCGTATCTTTGATGTCTTTAAAATCTGCTTATTTCTCTCTTGACTATATTCGGTGACTTGGCCTGCACAGATTTCTGTCATTATTCCACAGCCCTTTGAGTGAAAAACTGTTTCCTCATCTCATTTCTGAATGTCTATCCCACATCCAACCTCAAGTACCAAAAGGCCAAAGGTCATCACAAGTCAGGGGAAGCAGAGCCCCTCATAGTAACCTCAGCCAATGAAGGAACTGAACCCATGTAGTAGTGCTACTCTGTATTACAAACCAACATCCACCCAGCTGAGCCAAAGGAGCTACTTTGTCCTGCTTTAGGTAGGGAGGATACTCAAGGTGTGCTCTCACCAAGGCTCTGTATGACTGCAGTAAGCCATCCTTATTTTTGAACTCCCAATCCCATTGCAATAAAGGCTAATATACTATTTATGTTCCTAATTGCTTGCTGCATCTACCTGTCTGTTTTCCTTGACTGGTATGCAAGGATACTCAGATTCCTTCGTGCATCCACATTTCCCAACATAACCATTTAAATAATATGCTACCTTTCTGTTTCTCACAGTGAAGTGCATAGCTTCACATTTATCCTCATTGTCCTGCATCTGCTCACTTAACTTGTCTCAATCACCTTGAGACCTCCGTGTATCCTGCTCACATTCCCAGTTGGTTTAGTGTTACAGTCAGATATATTCATTATTGTCCTCACTGAACATGTTTCCTCACAAATGGTCAACAATATCCACTACAGGCCTCACCAGCAGCAACAGAGCCTGGAGTGAAAATATCACGGGCAGTGAATCCCGGCTGTGTGACATTCATAGAATCCCTGCGATGTGGGAACAGACCATTCAGCCCATCAAGTCCATACCGACCCTCCGGAGAGCATCCCACCCAGACCCTGCATTTCCAATGGCTAATCCACCTGTCCCTGGACACTACGGGGTAATTTAGCATGGCCAATCCACATAACCTGCACATCTTTGGGCTGTGGGAGGAAACTAGAGCCCCATGACAGAAACCTGCACAGACACAGGGAGAGTGTGTAAACTCCACACGGCCTGAGGGTAAAGCTCGATCAGGGACCCTGGCACGGTGAGGGAGCAGTGCTAACCACTGAGCTACTGTGCCATCTCTCATGTCTGTGCCTGTGCAAACTCAGCCCTTGTTTTTGATAATCAGGGTTTATTTAATGAACCAGCTATTCTGGTGCTACAGACAGTATTCCCGAGGTAGGATTACAGGATGCAAACCTATTTTACTGCCTCAGGCACATGCTATAGTCAGCCAGTATTTAATGTTCCAGTATTGTGCAATGAATGCATCATCAAGTAGAAGCTTGGGGCAATGTTTAGACTAATTGACAAGAAGTGTGATTGAGTTTCTGAAAGCCTGGAGAATCTTTGTGATGGAACCGTACTCAGTCTGATGTAGGAACATTTCCCAGCAAGTAGAAACAAGCACTTTCCTCCTGGTGGTGAAACTAATTTGCATTTAGATAGCACCTTTCACAACCACTGATTGCCTAAAAGTGCTTCACTGCCAAGGGAGTACTGTGTAATGTGGAGTCAATGTTGTGATGGAAGAAACTCAGCAGCCCATACACATCCTGCAGCAAGATCCTACAAACTGCAATGTGACTATGAGCAGTTGATCTTTTTTATTTGTAGCGTGTTGAGAAGTCAATATTAACCAGAGCACTGTTTTCTCCTGTGATCCACTGCTGCAACTGCCTTACATATACATGACACCGTACATAACCCCCCTCTAAGCTGACCCAGATCCTGATCCAAAGCAGCACCCTCCTGGAATTGCTGGAAACTGCTGACCTCTCACTGCCCTCCTGTACCAGAGGACGCTTCCCTCTCCCCCAACTGCCTGCTCATGGCAGACTGGTCAGAAAGGCTACTGAAGCTACATGGTGGCTCAGTGGTTAGCACTGCTGCCTCGCAGCACTAGGGACCCGGGTTTGATTCCACCCTCGGGTGACTGTCTGTGTGGTGTTTGCACGTTCTCCCCGTGTCTGTGTGGGCTTGCTCTGGTTTCCTTCCACAGTCCAAAGATGTGCAAGTTAGCTGGATTGGCCATGGGAAATTGTCCTGCAGGGGTCCAGGGATGTGTAGGCTTGGTGGATTGGCCATGGGAAATGCAGGGACAGGGTAGGGTAAGAGAGTGTGTGGAAAATAGTACTCAGACTGGAGAAGTGTGAGCTTTTGCATTTAGAGAGGGCAAAAAAACTTCAATGAATACACAAAATGTGACAGGAGTAGAGGAAGTGAGAATCTTTGGAGTGCATGCTCCCAGATTCCTGAAGTCGGCAGCACCAGGTCCTTAACGTGCAAAAAAAAACACGAGGGGTGCTATCCCTCACTGCATAAGGCAGTGAGTATAAAAACAGGAATGTTAGCTCAGAACTAAATAAGAGTCTGCTCAGGTGACAGCTGGGATTTTGCGCACAGCTCTGGTCTCCATCTTACAGAAAGGATTTAATAGCTTCAGAGAATGTATAGAGGAGATTCCCAAGAATGTTGCCAAGGCTTGAAAATAACACAGCCACAAGGAAAGGCTAAGGTTTTATTTATATCACAGAGAAGGTGAGATGTACAAACTAATGAGGGGCTTGGACAGCATGGACAAGGAAGACCTGTTTCCCAAACAGAGAGGGAACAGATTTAAGATGGCAATTGGGAGAAGGATTAGAGGGGCAGAAGGAAAAATTATTTCATGCAGAGAGCGGGAGGTGTCTGGAGTTCGCTGCCTAGTTTGGTGGTCATGGTGGAATCCCTCAACTCATTTATATGGAACACCACTAATCTGAAAGGCACAGCCTGAAACATGAGGTTGGAATGGACAGTTACTTTATCCAGCTTGTGTAGTCACATTGGTTCTAACCAGGCAGCAAGGGCATTGCAGGGATGTCAGCTCACTGGTGCGAAAATCAGAAATGTAATTGACAATCATCTTTCCCTGTCTCATTCCAAGTTCTGAGCAGTGGAACCGCATTGATCCTGACATCAAGAAACAACTCCTATTGAATCGGGAGGATGGAGAGTTCTGGTAAGAAATACTTTCCAAACATTTTCCGCTTGTACCTCACTCCCTGGGTATAGACACCAGGGTCTCCATTATCACCTATTCACTCCTCTTCTTCCCTAGCTTACTATCGACAATCCCTTTGCCTCCCTATCCTTTTCTGTCACTCTGTCTCTCTATCTCACTCTGCCTCTAGCCTTTGTCTCCACCTAGCCACTCACTCCTTCCTGCTCCCTTCCACCAGATCTCCAGCATCTCAATTCTTTGTTTTATTGATCTCCCACTCCCTGATGTCCAGGATGAGAGTCTGATCTCTCATTCCCTGCATACAGATCCCACAGTCACAATCTTATCACTGGGTACTGTGTACTGGTACCAGGAACATACTCTCATCTCTAACTCCCTGTGTGCACATCCAAGGATCACATTCTCATCTCTCATATGGCTCTAGCCAAGCTGTTCCAGTACCCTTACAACACAGCCATCTATCCAACAATGTGGAAAATTGGCCAGGTATGTCCTGTACACATAAAGCAGGACAAATCCAACCCGGCCAATTCCTGCCCCATCAGTCTCCTCTCGATCATCAGTAAAGTGATGGAAGGTGTCACTAACAGTGCTATCAAGCAGCACCTGCTCAGAAATAACCTGCTCAGTGACGCCCAGTTTGGGTTCTGCCAGGGCCACTCAGCTCCTGACCTCATTACAGCCTTGGTTCAAACATAGACAAAAAAGCTGAATTCCAGAGGTGAGGTGAGAGTGACAGCCCTTGGCATCAAGGCTGCATTCAACCGAGTGTGGCATCAAGGAGCCCTGCCAAAACTGCAATCAATGGGTATCGGGGGCAAACTCTCCGGTGGTTGAAGTGATACCTGGCACACAGGAAGATGGTCATGGTTGTTGGAGGTCAATCATCTCAGCTCCAGGACATCTCTGCAGGAGCTCTCAGGGTAGTGTCCTAGGCCCAACCATCTTCAACTGCTTCATCAATGACCTTCCCTCCATCATAAGGTCAGAAGTGGGGATGTTCACTGATGATTGCACAATGTTCAGCACCATTCGTGACTCCTCAGATACTGAAGCAGTTCATGTTCACATGCAACAAGATCTGGACAATATCCAGGTTTGGGCTGACAAGTGGCAAGTGACATTCGTGCCACACAAATGCCAGGCTATGACCATCACCAACAACGGACAATCTAATCCCCACCCCTTGACACTCAATGGTGTTACCATCACTGAATCCCCCACTATCAACATCCTGGGGGTTACCATTGACCAGAAATTCAACTGGACTCACCACATAAACACAGTGGCTACAAGAGCAGGTCAGAAGCTGGGAATACTGCAGCGAGTAACTCATCTCCTGACTCGTTAAAGCCTGTCCACCATCTACAAGGCACAAGTCAGGAGTGTGATGGAATACTCCCCACTTGCCTGGATGGGTGCAGCCCCAACAACACTCAAGAAGCTTGACACCGTCCAGGACAAAGCAGCCGCTTGATTGGCACCACATCCACAAACATCCACTCCCTCCACCACCGACGCTCAGTAGCAGCAGTGTGTACTATCCACAAGATTCACTGCAGAAATTCACCAAAGATCCTCAGACAGCACCATCCAAACTCACGACCGCTTCCATCTAGAAGGACAAGGGCAGCAGATACATGGGAACACCACCACCTACAAGTTCCTTTCCAAGTCACTCACCATCCTGACTTGGAAATATGTCACTGTTCCTTCACTTCACTGGATCAAAATCCTGGAATTCCCTCCCTAATGACATTGTGGGTCAACCCACATCAGCAGCTCAGGAAGGCAGCTCACCCCCCCCACTACCACCCCCCCCTCCTCAAGGGCAACTAGGGATGGGTAATAAATGATGGCTCAGCCAGAGATGCCCACATTCCACGAATAAATTCTGAAAATTCTCTGTGTAGCTGATCATCCTGATCCTTCAGACCCAAATATAATCCCAGTTTGATTTTCTTTTTAATTTTATGGGGTAAACACAAGCACTGTACACTGCAATTTTAGCTTTAAAATGAAAACAGAAAAAAATTATTACATAAAAGCAATGATGATTACAATAGAAAAAACTGAACTGTTCACATATTTAGAAATTGGAGAGTTTTCAAAACACACGGTAAAATATAATATAATTGATTTCCAACATAAACACTTTACAGTACTCTAAACCAGACAGATTCCTTCTCTATCACATCTCTAGGTTTGACTTAACTGCTTTGTTTATTTACAGATCTTGAGAGTTTGATAGCCATTTCCTCACTGGTCACATAAACTAGTTTAGATTTGCTCATCTTCAAACAACCCTTCCGTGCTCGAACTAAACACTTCTAATCTGGAAATTCAAATCAAAACTCTTTCAATGAAGTAATCTATCTCCTAGCTCGCAGAATCATAGAACTTGTATGGTGCAGAAAGAGACCGTTCAGCCCATCATGCCTGTATTAGTTTTACTGGTTCCAATTGTTTTGAACTAACTCCTTTTTACCAAGGAAAAACTGTTTCTTATTTAACAACAACTAACACAAATCAAGACTTCTGTTAACCGACCCAAAAAGCTTTCCAAGCTATTGCTTTTTCCCTAAGCAAACAAAAAAATCAATTCCAGATTCTTCTAACCAAAAGCAAGCTAATGTTTTTCAAGGTTTACTTTTCTAATCATAAAACTCACAATACTAAAGAAAATATTTCAGGAGCTCTCTCATTCTCAGATAGGTTTTAAATACAAATTGTGGCTCCAGAAACTTTGATGAATTAATCATCATGTCTCCTCATACAGAGACCAAAAATCACATACAACTAGTTCGAAATCCAAACTCTAAAACAAATGTTGTGGATGTATATATTTGACACTGAGGATGGCTGAAATATGAGGGCAGGAGGTAGTTTGTAATGAAAACTTTCCAAAGAGGAAAATCAGGTAGAAAGGGTCCAGGAGTTTAGGAAGAAACTGTGCAGCTCGAGGACTAAACTGAAGACAGGGTCACCAGCAGGGAAGTGATTAAACTGAGCCAAGAGGCCAGGATTCAGACAGAGCTGACACATCAGTGTGTTTGGAGGAGGAGGGGGCTGGGAGATTTTATAGAGATAGCAGTGGGGCGAGGCCATGGAGGGATTTGAAGATAAAACTGAGATTATAACAATCATGGCACTCCCTGACTGGGAGCTTCCACGAGCAGAGCCCTTGATGAGTGTTCAGCCGGGAATGCTGTGGGAATGGGATAGCAGGAAGAGAAACTGTTTCCCAAACAGTTCCATCAGAACCAGCATAGGTCTCCCACTGTTCCTTTCCCTCCTGATCAGAAATCCTGTTTGAACTTTCAAAGTGCCTCCCATTCCATTTCCCTTTCTCTCCTCAGGATG